GTGAAAACACGGTCATACTAATTCTATACAGATAAGGAGACTGCGATGAGCCTTAGGCAACACCATCTTGCTCTTAAAATCGAAGTCATAATTGGACTCCTCTTGTAACTGCTGTCGTCTTTGATTAATTAATTAAGGAATACAAATTTGTATCTTTACATTCACTTGCTCCATTTAGTTATCCTCAACATCAACTACACCTGGTTCATCGAACGGTCCTCCTCAACTACTACGCGTTTCCAACCTCGCCTCTGCCGACCCTGATAAGGATTTGACTGGAATGCTAATCAAGTTTGGCAAGGGAAAGGTTAGATCCGTGATATTCTCTATTTCTTCGCTTTATGCTTTTCACTGCGAGCTAAACTTAAAGCATTAGTAATTTTCTTTACCTTAGTACTTTATATGCTATTCAATTATAGTTTTAAGGTAGATTTTTATAACGAATGCGATATATTAGGCTCTATATGTATATATGACTATGAATAAAAATTATCTTTTGTCAAATAATTCTTGTTTTATAGGTTGTGGAACTCCTTCCTGACCGAACGACCGCTATTCTCAGATTTCCATGCCGGAAGTTAGCATCTGAGTTTATGAAGCAACATAATGGGTGCGTTTTCACACTTTCCTAGTGCCAATTATTTTTCTGCTTCTCATCAATGGAGCTTTTAGCCTAATGATGCATCCGACGCTAATTACCTGCACTGCTTTTTCTCGTATTGTTGCTCGGAAAACTTCTCTGCCCTTTTTATTGTCATTGGAATTGTCTAGTGTTGAGGGCTGAAATCCAACTATATAGCAGTGCATTATTTGCCTTACTGATGACAATGGATTTAATGCTATTAGATTTCCTCTCTGTTATAAAACATAAAGAGTATGCAAGTATTTAAATTTCGCTGTTTTTTTCCACGTTTATTGAGGCAAACTCATGTCGCAAACAAGTTTTTTGAGCAAAATTAGAACAAAGTTTTATATGGAGGTTGCAGAGAAGCCTATCCTCTCAGAAACGTGATCTTAAGAATTAAGCCAAATTAGTTTCACTTAAAGATTTCATTAAACAAATTAGCTGTTGAAAAAATTTCATATTTTTTGCTTGTTTCGATAATACTATCACATTATATTTGGGAATCATAACAATCGAAGTAGCATAAAGCTGTATAATAGATATATTCTTTTAATATTCGTTAATGTTACAGAACCAGACGTTTTTTACTCGAAATTAAGCAAACTTGGATGGTGTGGCCTTTACTATGTTGGCGATTTTCTTACATTGTGTATGAGGTGTTTGACCACGTTTTCGCAACTCAGCCGTATTGTTTGAGAAAATCGGATGAACGTACCTTTCCGAGGTCCTCTGTAAAAATAGCCATGATAATTTTCAGCGTCAGACCATGTGCTTGGTGGATTCCTCTGTCCATTGTCCGACTGGAAATTATCATAGCTATTGCGGCACAGTACTTCGGACAAGGCGCGTTCATTCAAGTTTCACTTACAACATGACCAACTTGCCTAAACGGGATCAGACCACCTCTATTTTTTACTCCTGTGATAACTCAGATATCGTGCCCTTACATTAATAGAGTCATATAATTACAAGAATGATATATTAATTTCACCAAACTATCTGATTAAGCATTTGCATCCATATTTAAATACTTTTATTATAAATCTTGTCTTGGAACTAGTAAGCACCAACTGTTTAGTTTGTAAACTAAGCAACATCTTATGCCTGTTCGACTAATTTTTTATACAAAAACTGATTGATTTTATGGCTAGACTAGGGTATGATGCTAAATACTAGAGACAAAATTGACATATCAACCTTTATACCAGAAGTTGAGGACAGTACGCCTTGTGGGAGTGGATGAATGGATGAATGGATGAATGGATGAATGGATGAATGGATGAATGGATGAATGGATGAATGG